TCTTGGATTCCACTGCCAGTCACCATCCATCAAATTACTTAAGCATGGATGAGGAGAATTTACGATTATACGCCTCCTACTTTTCAAGCATCCAATTATAAGGGTAAGTTTATGATAAAATGAACACCTACTCAGACATTTCAAAGAAACGAAATATGTTTTAGTATGACTTAAGATAAAAGCTGAACCCATCTACGTGCCTGAGAAATAAATTTCAGATGAAAAATAAATGAAACAGTAGCAAGAAGTGGGTATTCGGAAAGCTTTATTAATAACTATGCGAAATGTATAATAAAGGAAAAGCAATATCAGGGACTGTTTCCAAAAAGAAGGTCTATTTGAAGATACCTTCCAAGGTAGATAATGTTACTTAGTGCGTGTATCTACATTCCCCAGCGAATGATGGTGTTCCCACAGAGGTTCGAACCCAGTGCCCATAGTTTCAAACACCAGAGCTTTATCCACTACACCACTTTCAGTCACCAATCACCAATTGACTTTAAGTTACATGACCAAACATCGTAGAAGCATCTTCACAGGGTGCTGATATGTCAACCTGAGACCGAAAACTTTTGTACAATCAATTGATGGTAAAATCTAGAAGACCCGTTGCACAAGAGGTGGCTCTCGTTCCCCAAGTGGTGTAGTGGATAACGCTTTGGAGTTTCAAACTATGAGCACTGGATTCAAGCCTCAGTGGGAACACTATCACTCATGAGGGGAAGGAGATACATCTGGCTGCCGAGTCTCAAATAGGAGAAAATATGCATCCTGGATTCCACTGCTAGTCATCACCCACCTATCGACTAAATATTTGTAACTGTATTCAAGTATTGGTTTGTAGGGATTTGTCCGACTGCTTACAGGATTTTATCATGAGCTGACATTGGTTAGAGAACCATTGGGAAACCTGGGAGCACTGGACAGCTGTTATGCTCTAGTTTGAGACTCTTCATCAGTATGCACCCGCCGGGGTTCGAACTCAGGACCTTCTGGTTACAAGGCAAGCTCGTAGACCACTAAGCCACTGGGACTTGATCCAATGGCCAGTCCATGAATTCTAACTTCTGAGAATTTAGGATATAGCGCAACCGTTAGCCAATGTCTTCGGCGAGTATTCGTCCTCACACCTGACATGCTGCGTCCTACTAGTCACGATTTCCCACTATTTACTGTATCAATCCTACCACAATAACTCCAGCTTCTTTGTTATTATGTGCTGTGTTAAATATTATTCACTCAATAGTGACGTTAACAGATCAACACTCACGACTTACAGATCGTATATTTGCTGAAATTGATCCTTATTTGTTGTGATAATATTCATGTATTTGTACGTAACCTTACAAATTGTATAAACAACAATGTTTGCAGAGAAGTGTTCAGCTGACGAGTCCTTCCCATGAAATTTTTCAATTGAATCAATACTGCTTTTTTCACAGTTGTTGCTTGTTTTGAATTTATTGCAGTAAAGAAATGTTTTCAATGATTTCAATTTATTTTATAAAGGAATACAAGTGAAAAGAAAGAGTCATTAAATTTATTGGTCAATGCTTCAAATTAATTTATCACAAACTCGCTTACTATATAATTTTATTTAACTCTGACTAACTATGCCATGTATTAGTCATTATATTTAATGGTAATATTCCATCCAGCTAAATATCAGCTGCTTTACCAACAACTACCATATTTTCATTCGGTTTAAAGATGAAACAGTATTGACCTAAGGATACTAGGTGCGATATTTTCAAAACAAAAATTAATTGATCTTTATTCGATACAAAGAGGCTTAAGTTGAAAAGCATGTTGTGTGACATTAATGTGAATACAAGACGATTAAAATATGCTGAAATACACCGTGTTTGTTAAGCCTTTGAGACTATGAAAGTGGGTTTAAAGAGGAGAAAGCATTACAGTGAAAAAGTAATCTTCAGATAGAGCAATAAAATTATCTTGAACAAAGGAACAATGAAAAATACATATGAGGAGAATATGAGCTCATCCATCTCTCATTATCACGAGGCCCCTTTTCTCATTTGGCTTCTAACCAAGTTATGCAAAAATATAATTTACAGTAAAGATTTGAACCTACTTTCTACGCGACGACAAGGAGTAATTGATAGGAAGTATGAGTAACATGAGACCGGAATGATGTAGGTAGTTAAATTAATAAGAGTTCGAAGGAATGAATATTTATAGCATAATTGCGCCAGTACCATTGAGGACAGAGTTCAAAATATTAGGGTAGAGACAACGTTTAACCAGAAACAGTATAACAATATAATCGGTTGCGTAACTGCAGAAAATGTTACTTCATAAAATACCACAAACAAGTAAGATGAGTAGTATTCAGATGAAACAATACAATCCTCTTGGCAGAATAGGAGACATAAAGGAGAGTACATAACATAATAAACCTCTGTGCTTTCTTATATAAGTCTGATCACTAAGGTAGTGCAAGATTCATGGCTGCCTTCTTGTAGGCTCATAGATTTGGTTTTAATCTGCTGACGGCGATTGCTTCAGCAAAATGTAGGCACTTAGGTTTCTTTTGTCTGTTGATTATTTTGGACGTATGCAGATTGTCCACCATACGCAGCGGCCTGCTTTAATTACCGCTCTACAAAAATTTTCGTTTATACTCTGTTTCAAATTGTCTTAATCTGCTAATTACTACATTGAGTAGCAATCTATCCGCGCACACAATTCTAAACAACTTTCGACCTACCTCCAGGAATATTTCGAAGGAAACAGAGAACATTGTGGAAAAACATTTAAGCAGATTTCGGATGGATCAATATTATCGATTATTATGTTATTTGAAGGGTATGCACGAAGAATAAATACGTTGCGATGGAACTCACTGAAAATACCCTATTGTTGAAAGACGCATTTCCCAGAATAAAGCTATTACTATTCATATGACCAGTGCCCAAGTGTATTCTTCTTTGCGAAAACATTGACAGTAGTGTTCTCCAGTAGCCTGATCTGCAGAAGCCCAAAGGACAATATCTCGCATCTGACCATTTCTATGTGTATATATCAGTTTACCTGTTGCTGCGGAGCCAGGCACATTGGTCGTTTGATGCGCATCTTGTCCAAAAAGGTCAAAGAACACTATCCAGTGTGGCTGCAGAAAAGAAGGAAGGAGTGGAATAGTCAAACATATCGTCACCAATAGTCATTCCATCTCAACAAATGCCTCCTTAAAAGTTATCTACAAAGTGAAATACCACCTGCCAAAGACAATGAGTTTCCGTCTTCTTTGCATTGTAGAAGCCTTAGCCATTCATTTAGAAGAAGCAGAACTATGCATACAAAAGAAAATTATTCAACAACTTCTACTATCATGGTAACAACTCTGTTAATTTGACTTAACTTTTGCTTGTATGCTTATTTTTCTAACTATTTAAAACTCTTGCGTAATTCTGTATTTTATTTTGTTTCCATTTACACCATGAGCGCAACTCTTTCACCAAACTATTCATGTTAATATGTCACGCTTCTTTAACAATCGTTTGTGGCAACTCATCACTTTTGTTACTACCGTTTTATATCAACATCCCATTCATCTGAATTTACCAGTTGTATTTTTGTTTGGTAAATTTAATGCACACACATGTGCAAAACAACCGCATATATATCTGCGACTGTACAGGTTTGAAAATGAATTCGCGGAAAGGAGACTCTTCGCTGGACCACTGGTCTTCTGCCTATTATTGTTCGAAAGAGGATTTTTCATGGATACTATTGTTATATTGTTATACTGTTTCTGGTTAAACGTTGTCTCTACCCTAATATTTTGAACTCTGTCCTCAATGGTACTGGCGCAATTATGCTATAAATATTCATTCCTTCGAACTCTTATTAATTTAACTACCTACATCATTCCGGTCTCATGTTACTCATACTTCCTATCAATTACTCCTTGTCGTCGCGTAGAATGTATGTTGAAATCTTTACTGTAAATTATATTTTTGCATAATTTGGTAAGAAACCAAATGAGAAGAGACCTCGTAATAGTGAGAGATGGATGAGCTCATATTCTCCTCGTACGTATTTGTCATTCCTGTTTTTGTTCAAGTTTACTGATGGAAGGAACTGTACGAAATTTTTAATAAAGTAATGTAATTTCTAAATATCATGGAATTTTATTTTCAAAAATCCTTTTGTATATTAATTTCACTACCACACGTTTTGGTGAAGAAATTTAATTTGATTCACCATGTTAGTAAGGTTGAATTAAAATATTAAAAAATGAGGGTATTTTTATACTGTAACAAACATTTTATACAGATTATAGCAATAAAAATTCAGCTGACCGAAGGTAACTGTGTTTAAACTCATACCATATACATTCTTTAATTTTTTGATAAGAACATTCAATGATATGAACATTGGCAAGTACTGTTGTTTGTTCTAGGCAGTCCTATCACTTCCGGCCCCTACGTATGAATTAAGCATCCATTTGACTTGTAACTGGAATGTTTCCAGTTCAAACCCCGGTGGATGCGTACTGCGAATGTGTACTAACTGGGAAAAAACAACTGTCTACTGCTCCCGGTTGGTTTTCAATGGTTCTCTAACTGATATCAATCTGTGATCGAACTTGAAACAGATCTAATTTCTCTTTAAAATAAGCCTTGAAAACTAATGTAATACTCATCAATAAGTGATTGGCCACAGGATGAAGTTACATGGAGCCCGATTGCATTGACTGGTGGTCGCGCTAAACTCATGGATCGGTAGAAGCTGGAACTCATGGATTGGCGGCTAAATCGGATCCCAGTGTCTGAATGGTCTACAAGCTTGCTTTGTAAGTGAAAAGCCCGGAGTTAAAATTCAAGCACTAGGACGACACAACTGTCGGGTACTCCCTGTTGCTTCTCAGTGGTTCTGTACCTGATATCAATCCGTCGTAAAAGATTAAACACAGATATGTAAATTAACAATTTCAATCATCCATAAATATAATAAAGAATTTCTAAATCACTTACCAATACAGAATATATCTATGACGAAAAATTTCATGATCACATGAAGAAAGATGAGTAAATTTTCCAAAACGATGTACATTTTTTCAATTTTTATTTTAAAAACGTTTTCAACTAAACAGTATTTATCCCGAGAGACACATAATTTGTTTACATTTAAACAGTATTCAGTGTTATTGTGCTCCAGTGTCAGTATGCAGCACCATTTTGAATCATTGTACAACCACTGAGCTTTAATAAGCAGAATATTGGCAGACAAATAAGCCTATGCGCATATACAAGCATATATAAAAAAGCTATGTACAGTTAGATTATTTTTATATATTTATATGTATTTCGAAAAGGGACATTTATTCTCTTGATGTATCTTTGAAATGATTAAAACTTTTCATATATATATATATATATATATATATAATTTAGGTATTTCGACTGGTTAAAATGGCTCAACCAATCAAAAAATTAGTTTTTTGACAGGATTCTAAAACAATCGCTTATTGAATACGGTTTTATTTGAATCAAAATGAGAAGATTTTTTACAAATTCTGCACTGAAGAATATGAGAATGATATGACAAGACAGGAGTTGTTGATGTACTGCATATATACATATATATATATGTACGCATAGCATTACAGCCGCTTGTTATATTTCATGCCCATCACTGTCACTGTTGCTTTTAACTGTTATGAATTCGCATTTGGTTACATCACACCTGTGACAAAAGACAGACGTGATAACCTAAGGATACTACCCGTAACTTGGGTCCAAAAAGTCGAAAAATTGAAAATTTCAAAAACGCTTCCAAATGATAGAGGAATGTGTGAAACGAGTTTTGTTATCTATGACCATGAGGTTTTTGAGCTTGTCTAGGCCTTACAGCGCCCTTGCTAGGCTGTTCTGCTTATAACCCTAAAATCCTATAGTAAACACAGCATAAACCATATAGACGATATGAGCGTGAGTTAGCTGGTGCTCATTGCTCGCTTATATGACTGTGTATGGTTTTCTATAGTCTTGCCAGACGTACAGAAGCTATTTACATGCTAAATTGGTTGGAAGGGATAGCGATTTCATTGAATTTGGTAGCTGCTGGCTTCGTTTATAGGGACCTATTGTCACTATAGCGTTGCTGTGCGTGCTACTTTTGCAAATAATAATACGTTTGGCTAGTCTTGTATGCGAGATGAGTTCTTTTGGGCTTCTCAATGCAGTGCATAATTGATTGATGCGATCAATGATCGGCGTAACAATGCTCACCTATCATTAGTATACTAATGGTGCGAATGGTCCACCGAGTGAGAGGGCTCTCGAGTGGTTGCGCCCCAGGATGATCCTGCATGCCGGTCTTGCCTCGCAAGAGGCAGGAATGGGTGTGTTTAGTTCACCCGAAAAGCAATACACAGTCAATGGGTTTATCCTGCCAGTAGTCATATGCTTGTCTCAGAGATTAAGCCATGCATGTCTACGTGCATACCTTAAAACGGTGAAACCGCGAATGGCTCATTGAATCAGCTTTGGTTACTTAGATCATATATGCTACATGGATAACTGTAGTAATTCTAGAGCTAATACATGCAATAATGCCCAAACCCGCAAGGGAACGGGTGCATTTATTAGAACAGAACCAACCGAGGGCAGTTTCGGCTGTCTCTGTTGAATTCTGTGATGACTGTGGATAACTTTAATGATCGTATCAATCTAGCATCAATCGAATTCAAATGAAGTATTATTTTTTATACATTTGGCTCCCTTGATAAATTTCGATAAAGAAAGAAACACCAAATTTGCAGTATAAAATGAAATCCACATCATCATTCTATTTCAAAGGTCCTCATCATCTGCACACTACCACCTGAAATTGCAATGGTTATATAGATGATAATAACATACTTTATTGTTTAAATGGTAGTAGGGAAGAAATACTATAAAATTGACGCATCCGGAATGTAACCATTACAAATTTTAGTTTTATATGCTTTCAAAGTAGAAAAAAAGGGGAAGGGGTAAGACAAAAAACAGAAAAAATTAATTAACAAACAGTGTTAGCTTGTAGGTTCACACAGCAACTCAAAAAAAAAAGCGGTTACAGTTTATAAGATTGAGATTTGTTCAGTGAGTTGAGATCAGTGAATCAGATGACTAATTAATGTTATCAAAATCAAAATTCAGTTACCAAGAGAGTGAGAGATTAATCAAACACACTCTCTCTGTATGCATTAGTCTCGTTTGAATCGTTTGATTGCGATCACTTCGGAAAATCGTAGTAAACTTGCTCTCCTTTGTCTATTTAATATTTTGAAGGACTTAGAAATCTCTGCGTTATGATTAGTATCAACAATATGTCTGGTAATTGCACTCTGAGAATATTTGTTTCCTTTCAGGCACAGGTTTCTTGGAATATGTTCAGAAAACCGGATAAAAGCCCTTCTTTCCGTCCTTCCAATATACGCAGTTAGAGGTGACATCAACAGGGTATTTATCCAGTTTCGAGTGGCTTATAGAAGAAGTGGTGTTGTATTATGTTATGAGTTTTGCTGCCGTCAAGCTTCTTTTTATTGCATCTTTCAGTCTTTTGTCAATCTTTTGTGACACCGCATCTCCTTTGAATGGGAGACAAATAAACAATTTCTTCTTTTCTACAGTTGGGTGTTTTTCTTTCCTTTCTTTTTCTCTGCTATACTTTTGTATAAATCCCTTTGGGTATCCATTTTCTCTTAGGCATTTCTCAACGAAACCTAATTCTTCTTCGACCTTGTTCGGTGAACATAGCTTCCTGGCTGTGTCGTACAGTGTCCTTACTAATCCCCGCTTATAGCTTATAGGGCAGAAGCTGTTGTAGAGAAGGTATTGTCAAGTCCAGGTCTCTTTTCTGCAGATGGACTTTTCGACCGGTTCATAGTTTCTTCTTTTTACATTTAGGTCCAGGAAGTTGAAATCGTCGTTGTGTTCATATTCCATGGTGAATTTAATGTTTGGGTAGATCTCATTAATGTGGTCAAATTAAACGGATGCCTGACTCATGTCGTTACAAACAACAAACGTATCATCAAAATATCGACGATAGTATGTTGTTCCATTGATAGATTCGCTCAGTCGCATCTGTTAGGGATTACCCATGAAGATGACAGCTAGAATAGGTCCTAGAGGTGAACCCATGGCGACCCCATCAATTTGTATGTAGAAGTGGCTGTTTAATTTGAATTGGATGTCTTTTATGCAAAGAATTAGTAGGCGCTTTGTATCTATTTCCAATAATGGCAACAGATCTGTTTGTTTACAAATGATGTCTATGGTTTCCATCACTGGTACATTTATAGGTAAATAAGGCAGTCACATCGTATGACACCATTAGTTTATTTGATATATCAGCATGGTCGATTTCTTCAGAAAATTGAAAGATGTCATCGAAGCTGTGATTTGCAAATTTCTGTTGAAATGACTTCAATGAATCAGCTAGCCATCGAGCTACAAACCACTTAAACATTAAAGGACTATTTTGTTTTATAAGAGTGCTACAAATAAACAGGGCTTTCTAAACAGTTCACTTCAATTCCATACATCAATATTATGGGTAAAGTTATGTTGTTTTCCCGTGGACAAGTTCATCAGATACAACGTTGAGATGACTGGATGTTTTGGTGGGGGAAGCCCCTTAGAACCTCTGCATCAAAAACAATACTCACCTCTTTTGGATATTGTTCAAAACAATTGCTCAAGTATTGTAAAAATTAAATAAGCAACTCAAAGCAAATACCGGAGATATGTAAGGTATTATTGCCAGTCAAATCAGAGGATAATCAATAATGTTAAAATGTATTTTGACTCACATTAGAACATTCTAACAAGTTATTTATTTATTTTACTACAAAAACATCTTATTTCCCATCTTATTGTATTTTATTGATAACACTAATAGTGTTTCTGAAGTTAACTGGTGGATGGTGACAAGTAGTGGAATCTAGGGTGCTCATTTCGTCCTATTTGGGACTCATCATCTGGATGTGCCTGCATTCCGTAGTGAGTGATGATGTTCTCACTGGGGCTCGAACCCAGTGTCCATAGTTTGAAACGCCAAAGCGTTATCCACTAGATCACTTGGGCCACGAGATCCACCTCTTGTGCAATGGGTCATATTAATTATTTAATTCAATTCAAAATTCCTTGCTGTATCATTATTACTGTTTTTGGAATAAAGCAAAAATTATTATTATTAGATTTTGCGCGTCGATCGATTGGACAGAAGTTCTCGGTCTCAGGTTAACATGTCAGCTCCTTATGAAGATGCTTCGACGATGTTAGGGCATGTAATTAGAAAATCTTAAATTGAGTTAAATATCTTCCATTATGTTTCACGTAAGTCTTATATTGATTTCATTAAAATGCATAATCCATGTTTACCCATGTATGTAAATGAAACAAGAAAGTTATGTGAGTCCCTCAATATGACTATGAGTGGCATTAAATTGGGCTCGAAATGTCATCAGTAGATATTAATTAATAACACTCTGTGACTTTATCAAAATAAAATTTTATCCATAATGAAGCGACTTATGTGCTTTACACTCATGAACTGCAGTGACTTCTACGTATTTGAAGAATCTCAAAAAAGATTAAAAGATGAATGAAAAATTTTGTTTCCATGTAATATCTTACTTATTCCCTAGTTTCATCCTTCCAGATTAGCTAAACAGTTAATTCATTGAAGATGCCAATTAAAAAATTAAAAGACTGGTTAATAAACAAAGAATATACTTTTCAATAAATTCATCATCAAGTTCTACATTTATGTGACAGTAATACTTAAAGAAATATTCTTATTACCAACATTATTGCTGGCAGACATTTTGTCTTAACTTTGGACTCTTCAGCAGCACACAGTCACCGGGGCTCGAACCCAGGACCTTCTGGTTACAAGGTGAGCTCGTAAACCATTAAGCCACTGGGACCCATCCCAGTACTGTCCAGCCTTCCAGTACTCCCAGGTTTTCCAATGGTTCTCTAACCAATGTCAGCTCATGATGAAATCCTGTAGCCAATCAATCAAATCCCTGCAAACCACTCCCTGAACATTAATGCTGTTTAAC